TTTCGCTGTCGTTCGTACGTTTGGTCTTCTACCTGTGTACCTCACCGGAGCACCATGCTGTCTCTGTTTGCATGTCAGCGACCTACTATCCGTTTTTTTCCGGTTGAACCGAAGCACATTCGCGTGAGTTCTTTGCTGAAGGTAATTAACGGATTGAAAGAGAAACTTTACGGCGCACCTCTGCTTTGAATCCAACTCTTCTAAATTGTATAGCAGATTACTAAACAATTGCGCCACTGTCTCCTTCCAAACACAAGAGCCTTTCCTGAATGCTTATCCTAATCGCTTTTGAAACTAATTACTGCGTCTATGGCTGTGCACAAATAGTTTCGAACCGTACGTATTTTCACCTACCGTTCGAAACTTTGTATCTTTCTCATCATTATATTCGTTCATATTATCATCATTTTTGTCGGATTTTCTTAGCCATTCCTTAGTTTTTACCATCGTCCGTATCCATGGTTATTTTACAATAATGTCTGTTCTTGCTCATTTTGGTCGTTTTCAAAATAATAATCATTATTGTATCATGAGAATTCTAACTCATTTTTGCCTCCGTCACAAAAACAGAAAACTCATTAATTCTTTATTAGTCATCGTTATATCGATGGTTTGTTTTTATTTTCATTATATTGGTTGCTGTTGTTCTTAAGACGGTTTCTTTCACCATCCTTGGGTCATTCCAAACGTGTCATTCCAAACCTTTCGTCTAGTTTCTTTTCATCAATTGTGGTACTTGAAAATTTATTAATAATCATTCCAGCCACATAAAAAATTCTCCTAAAGATGGTACATGAATTTATTAACTAATGAGGGTTGCCAAAGCAGCCACTATTAGTTTTGTTCTAATGAAAGATTTGGCTTTCCATTTTTTGAGATTAGTAGTTGGATTCGAATTAAGCATCACGATTGTAAAGTTTCTGATCATTTTCATCTATTTTCCAAATCGCTGTTTTATTGTTACTCAATTTTTGTTACATAGTCATTGCCATGACCTGGTCTACGTCTTCATCTTCACCATAATCATATCCACAATAAAGCTCTTCCAATTCGCGCCGTAATTTTCATTTTTTTACTCCTTTCCAACTGTCATTCAGTTGGAATGATTCCACTTATTTAAGATCATATGGTAATCGTCGAGTACATACTCATCTCATCCTCGCCTCCTCAGATTCACGGTGACTCTTTGAAACACATGCCTGGACAATTTCGAGCAACAACTGCGCGGTAGTACGCCAAAAAATCGTACATTTGTTAAAATTATGTATCCTATAATATTCAAATAATATATTTAATGCGAAACTTTCAAACCCTAGAACCGTATTCGTTTATTATTACGAATTAATAATGGTTAATAGGTAATATTGTCACCTAGATCTTCTGAAAGCTTGTTTTATTTTTGGGTGTACTATCGTGTACTGTCTTTTCTTCGTCCCGTTCAATAAGTTTATTTCTATTTTATAATCATTCCCGTGATATTATCTTTTCGTTTATCCTTCTTTAAGGTAGCATTTAACTCTTCCTCGTCTCATTTTTATTTTGATGGTTCTCATTTTGCTTTAAAATCTCTTGAATCACTCTGCGTTCAACTGCTTAACTGGAAAGTCTGTTTTCTTCATAATAATATCGTAATTGTCAGGTTTATAATCATTCTTTTTACTTTTATATTACTGTCACAATAAAAGTCAGACGAAAGACGGTACAGAAGTCACTGCGTTGCGCATGGTTCGATTATGTAGAGAACCTGTGATTGCGCACCTTGGAATTGTCATTCCAGAAGATCCTAACCATTGAAAATGCTTCCTGGAGCCGCTGTCCCCGCAACTTAAGATGACCTATGGGTATTAAAAATGAATAGAGCGAACAAATCGGTCATGTTCTTAGTTATAATTTAAAGACTGTAGTTTCTGTTGTGCACGCATAATCACGACTTGTAGTCGTCGTCATTCTTGACCATGTAGATAGCCTCATCACCTCTTTTATCGGTCTCAGTTCTGGAAAGTCTATTTGTTTCTTGTTTAAATACATTTATTTTTTGAAACTTATTGCATTGTCTATTAACTATGCAAATAATGTATAAGCACATATTACAGAGATCGACCAACACTGCTTGAATTGAAAACAAGTGACAAGCTGAAGTCTACTCTTCAATCGACCTATGACACACCCCTGCAGTGCGTTGCGTATGTAGGGGCGTGGAACGCTGCTTCACCTGATAAGCAGGTATCTCCAAAATATTGCTTATGCATGCTCCATTTATGTCTTATTTATCCGTTTAGCCATTAAAAAGTGGAAGTGCTTCAATTAAATCGATTGAAATATTGAGATCACGATGTTTTGCCTGTTATATCGCTATGATTCCTACAATATCTTAAATTTCCGTAACATTTAACATCCCTATTAAAGCTGATAAATGAATGGGGTGACTACAACAAATTTTATGACCCATTGTTCAGGGCATCCAAACAGATAAGTTATTCAGGTATTTATTGCTTACTTCTTTATTAT